TTTTTAAAAACCCAAACCTTTGGACACCACCATCCACACGTCACAAGTGACATGCCAACCCCAATTAAGCAACAAATGTGGGGTTTGGATGTACAAACAGAATGCTTACACAGAATGCACAATAAATAAACGGGGGAGGGGTGAGAGAAGTGGTGCAGAGGGCACCCAGACGAATCCGAAGTCAAGCTTTCAGACTTGACTGCTCAGATTCTCCGGAGTTAAGTGTCAGTGCAGAGAGGGTCTGAGTCACCATTGTTACATCAAGGTCAGTACTGACTGCTCTCAGTGGAAGCAGCTCTCCAGGGTCTCAGGCGAAAAATGATCAAATCACCACCTATCTGATCCTTTTGAATGGAGATTCTGGGGATTAACTTTGAGATCCAAAGCAAATAGTCTGCCACCAAGCCATGGAAATACAAATACAGATTATAATATTTTGGTTCTCAGTTGCATTTGTATGCAAGACTGGGGTAAGTTGGAAGGAGAACTGTTCTTGTGTGTCCCTAAACTTCTGCTTGTGCCAGGTTCACAGGTGTTATAGACCAACAACTTTCCCCATCACTAATAAGGGAAATAAATGTAATCCTATGATCATAGCTTTGACAGGTTTCCACAGTCACTGGCTGCCGTGGGAGGTTCCCATTCCAGCTGTTTCTACAGAGACTAATTAATGTGGTAAAAGGTAAAGGTAAAGGTTCCCTTGCTTGAAAGCCAGTCGAGTCCGACTCTAGGGTTGCGGTGCTCATCTCCGTTTCAAAGCCAAAGAGCCAGCGCTGTCCGAAGACGTTTTCGTGGTCATGTGGCCGGCATGACTAAACACCAAGGCGCACGGAACGCTGTTACCTTCCCACCGAAGTGGTCCCTATTTATCTACTTGCAATTTCTTGCTTTCGAACTGCTAGGTTGGCAGGAGCTGGAACTAGAGATGGGAGCTCACTCCATCATGCGGCACCCGGGTCTCGAACTGCTGAACTACTGACCTTCCACAGCCTGCAGTTCAGCGTCTGAACCACTTGAGCCACCGCAGCTCCAATTAATGTGGTAGAAAGTAACAAATAGACTCAAGAACCACTGCAGTGCAACATGCTGGTTCTTACCTCTAAGTGGCTTGGGACCTAGCTGCTTGAAGAACTGTTACTTCCCATATTCCTGAGCCCAGCACTGTGCTCACACAGTGAGGTGGGTAGCAACCTAAGACAGGGCTTTTTCAGTGGTGGTGCTTTGCCCATTGACTGCCCTTCCCCTTAAGGTTCACCTTGCACTCTTTGAGGCACCAGACCAAAACATCTCATTTACCCAGGCTTTTAATTAAGTGGGTGATATTTTAAAATTGTTTTTACAGTCGTCTTCAAGCCTAAGGGCTGTTTTGTAATAATCATTTTAGGCTGCTAAATATTTTATGATGTTTCTGGCTTTTTTTAAGGTTGTATTTTTAATAGCTTGTTAATTTTAATTGTTTTATGCTGTTTTATTCTTTTACCATGTTTTACTGTCTAAGCCACCTCAAGACGTTTCTCTGGAGAGGCGGCATGCACATTTTCTAAATAATAAAGGAATGGCCCTACTCCTATTTGAGCCAGAGTGACTCTGGGGATAGTGAAGAACAGCTCCGTACTTCATGCATTAATTGTGTTTACAGCACTGTTCTCCAGCAATTGGGCTGTGTTAATGACACATGTCCTTTAAATGCTGTGTATGTGTATTGAGGAGATGTGGCCCAGTTGGCACATGCTCATGGATGATTCAAGGATCCCCATCTGGCACCCACACTTTGTGTATGTGTTGTGGTATACATCAGTGTGCCTTCAATAAATGCAATTTATATGAAGTGAGGAGGAGGTACCTGAGGTACCTGAAAATGACCTATCTGCAAACCGTTCATAACAGTGGGAGATAATGGGGTGGATCTGATAGTTCTCTTCTAATAAGTGGGGTGTGTTCTTTGAACAGAAGAAGCCACCTTCTAATAAACAAAGGGTGTTTCTTCTGGAGCGAAGTTTTTCAGAGGGGGTGTGGTTGGATCCAACAAAATAACTGCATGCATAACAAGGGTTCCTTGCTTGCATTTAGTTCTGCAACAGCTGTGCAAAGAAAATTGGCCAACACATTTCAGTTGTGGTCTTTTATGCACCGGAAATTGCTTTATTTAACCCCTTCTTGAAATAGGGTTGGAAGTGGAGAGAAAGTGTTTAATTGGAAAACTTGGATCCATGACAGTATTACAGCTTTGTGTCATTTTTTTTCCCCATCCCCCTGGAGGGAGGTTTTTATTGATTTTTGTTTTTTGCAAACTACAAAACTACAACAGAAAATATGGGAAAGGGAACTACATCTAGGGAAAAAAGAAAAAAGACCCACAACTAACTAAAAACCCAGGAGTAGGATATCAATACATCAGCTTAACACCATGTTATTTTCAAAAAGCTACTAATAATACAATGAATTTAGTCGGTTATGCTAGATTAATTATCGTTTAATCATCCCTTTAACTGTTTAAAGAAATTCCCAGAGCATCCCCAAGTTACTTCAACATTTTTTCAGGCACAAATCAGAGTCCTGCAGCCCTTATTTATTCTTATCTTTTCTAATCCTCAGTTTATATGAGCTTTTGGGGGCAGCCGCCGAGCCCAACTCGCCATCAGATTTGCTTTCTTTTTCCTCCCCTTTGCCCTCTTCTGGTTCCCCAAGGTGTGCCCGCAGAAATTCCCGTGCTTTAAAAACAGAGTCAATCTTTTCTTTTTTATCGTTGAGCTTGAAAATGACGCCTTCTGGGGTTAACCACCTGTAACTGATGCCATTTGTGTGTAAGAAAAGGATTAATTCTTTATAGTTATTTCTCTTTTGTCTTATGTCAAATGGAATGTCTTTTAAAATCCTGATATTATTGCCCCCAATTTTCAAGGGTGTTCCCGAAGTTGCTTTCAAAATAGCATCTCTCACATGTCTCTTCGAGAATCTGACCACTATTTCCACAGGCAGATTATTTTTCTTGATGTACAATGAATAGGACCTGTAGACCACATCCATCTTGCTGCAAAGGTATTCCACTGTTAAATCTGTCACTGGGGCTATTGCTTCACTCAACCGTTGCTTCAGATTCTCTCCTTTCATTTCCGGGACCCCTTGAAACCGTAGGACCAAATTTGCTCTATCCATTTGTAGCTGTAAAAGCTTTGACTCTTCCGTAGCTTGCTTCATTTCCAGCTTTTGCACCTTTTTCTTAACTTTTTTAGTAGTGACGTCCATTTCCTTCACCTTCTCTCCCATTTGCTCTGTTACTTTTAAGGATTGAGTCAGTTGCATCTGCTGCGCTGCCTCACTCTGCCCAATTATTGACAGTTGTTGTTTAATGCCAGTGATCTCGTCCAGCAGGGGGCGCAGGGAGTCAGCCAAGAGTTTTGAGAGCTCACTGACATCATCTGTTCGAGGACTGCCCCCTAGTTTCAGTTTCAACAGCTTCTCTTTCTCTGGTTTCTTCCAGAGTCTCTGATATTTGCCCGAACGCTTTTCTGCACTCTGGTAAGTCTCTTAAAACAGTTTTAGTCGCTTATTTTTCTGCTCCCCCCCTTTCCTTCCGTGTTCCGTCTATGCGTTTGGGAGGGTCCCCTCCCCCACTCACTTTCCCATCGCTCTTTAGGGGGGCAGCTTCTTCTTATATCTTCATGCTCACGTCAACCCGACTCACAGTTCGTTGTTGGCCATTCGGCCTCGCTCGCCAGCATTTATTTTGCCCGATCTCCAACGCTTGTCCCGGTCAGCAGCACTTGTACCATGCGGTCATTCAGTGGCAGGACCTTCAGGACGGAGGGGCGCCTCAATTCTCCGGCTTTTGGCCAATCGAAGAGGTCACCCCTCAAAAGCCCCCTGGCTGGGAGCCTTTTACCAAGGCTCCGGGGAGGGTCGCGACCTGTCGGACCCCCTCCCACATGCTGGTGTGCAGTTTACATCCCCGGGACGTCTGGGAGATGTGTCTGCCTGCGTGTCGCCATAAACCGGAAGCTCAGCTTTGTGTCATTTATTGAACTCCCAACTTGATCTCTGCATTTTCAGTAAGTACAATCAAAACAAGACCCCACTAATAACATTTGGAAGTATACTCAGTCATATAATTTATTCACAACCATCTGTAGGCCTGTTTAGTTTCAGCTGAGCCTATTATTGGAGCTAATAGCATTTTGGAGATGCTGAAAACCATTCCTAAAATTATTTTATATAACTATTTAATGAAAGGGAGCAGTGTATCTAGGTTGTTTAAGGTACAAGAGGGGCTCCCTGTGGCTGTGCAACTGAATTTCAGCAAAGGTCGAAGCGCAAAATGAACAAGTGTATCATATGACATTGTGAATGAAGCTTGTTTTGCTGGAGATTGTGTGGCTATTTTTGAAATAGTGTAGAAGGAGGCTTTTATTAAGACTTTTAAAATCAGTCCTTTGTAAAGTAATAAGTAAAGCACGTATAAATGCTCTAAGGATAGTTATTCATTAATTTATTACATTTTCATCCTACTCTTTCTTCAAGGGTGAATGACCTTTGGGAAGGGTGCCCTGCTGGCAAGACTCCATCAGACTTTGCAAGGTCTTCTATACATTCCATTTAAAGTAATGAACCCATCAAATGTGCCATGTTGTCCCTTGACTGCCCCTGTTCCATATTTGTGGCATTTAGTCCACTAGGTTAGTGCTCTCCATCTCTCTACTACATGCTCATGGCAGGTTGCAGTTACTATCTGGTAGATTCTAAATGCCAAGCATAATTTCTCATTTATGAAAAAGTTACTTCTCCCTGGAGTTCATTCTTGTAACTTGATATAACAATAAACATTAATAGGCATGCATTCCAGTACAACCATAAGCTGTTTTTGAACTCATGTGCTATTTTTCTACTCATTGTTGTTGTCTTAAGTTGGGTGGTGGTCAGCCTGTTAAGTACATCAAATAAATATCATATTCACTGTCACAGAGATGCAATTTGTCTTATAATCTTTCCTTTTCAAATTCCAGATCTCCGGTGAAAGACATGGGTACTGGTGAGAAAGAAATCACAGTCTGGGTCTGCCAGGAAGAAAAAATTGTGAGTGGATTGACAAAGCGTACAACTTGCACTGATGTAATTGAAGCTTTGCTTGAAGAACATCAAGCTTCTTTTTCAGAAAAGAGGTTTCTCTTTGGACAACCCAAGGATTACTGCATAATAGAGAAATGGAGAGGTTCAGAACGGGTCCTTCCACCTCTCACAAAAATGCTGCGACTCTGGAAAGCCTGGGGGGAAGAACAAACTAATTTGCAGTTTGTGTTGGTGAAGTCAGATGCCTTCCTCCCCTTTCCGCTGTGGAGGACAGCTGAAGCTAAAATGATACCCAGTCTAGAAAGACAATGGGACCTTAGCCCAGCAAATTACATGAAGATGTTGCCAGTGGACAAGCAAAAGAGAATTGTCAGGAAAACTTTCCGGAAACTGGCAAAACTTAAGCAGGAAGGAGCTCTGCAAGAGAGGGATAATATAGAAACACTCATACACCTGATCCTGTCTCAGGATCACACAATTCACCAGCAAATCAACCGAATGAAGGAACTGGATTTAGAAATTGAAAAGTGTGAAACCGAGTGCCACCTCCATTGGGTTGAAAGTGAGGGGGAAAACTACGTTCAGAAGTCTTACTTAATGGCGTCTTCTAGTAATCCTGAACAGCAAATGGATCTTCCTCACAGCCATCAGCAGGTGCAGGAAAGTCTATGCAAAAGCGAGGGGGTTTTACAGGTGGAGGAAGGACTAAAACATCACAAGCTGTTGATTGAAAAGCTCTCTGCTGAAATTGAACAAGAGCTTCAGGGGAGTAAAACAAATGGACATACATGGACAGATGAAGCCTCTAAGAGCGAAGAGGAAAATTCTGATTTAGACAGTGTCAAGAATGAATTGGAAAACAGCATGAAAGATGCTTTAAGGATCCATTCTCAGCTGAACTGCATACAGCAGGAACTAAAATACAGAGACCTGATGCTTCAAAAGAAGGAAAAAGAATATCAACTTCTTGTGGAAGAGCTTAATGCACTATATGCTAAAGACAAAACTGAAAGCAAGTACCCACCCAGTGAAGAGCAAGCAAATGGCAATGAACTTGCCCCCAAGACTTTCACAGGGACAGACCTTCTTCTTAAGGTGACTAATTTAGACATAAATGACACAGACTCTGATACTGGAATCAGCTCCACTCATAGTCAGGACTCAGAGACAGCATTAGGGGACACAATATTGTTGGCTACATAGTTGAAAACTGCTAAGATTCTACTAAGGAAACTAATATCCCTAGAGAGAAGATGTTTCATGTGGTAGTATCCTTTATTGGTTGAACTGTTGGTGGTGTGTCATAACTTCCAGGTTAAAGAGACCTCCATCAGACCATAGGAAACAATAGCTAATTCTCAGCCATGAAGAGAAAAAATGTGTTTTACTGATATGACCAATGTAGCATCTTCAGTCTTATCAAAGTTCATATTGAACATTTCAAATGCACTTAATATTTTTTTAAAGTAAGTTTAATTGGACTAGCTGTAATGAACCAAAAATCTAAGCCCACAAACCAGTATAAGTGACAACTAGGGGTGTGGGGAAAAAGGAATTTTTGGGTTCAGGTATATTGAACCTGAAAAATATTGGTATTTACCGATGTTCCCAAATCCCAGTACCAGTATGGTATTCAAATTCTGTAAATATTCGGGATTCCTGGAATTTTTTTTACTATAATGGTCCCCATAGGGTATAATGGAGAATCGATCTGGGGGTATCTGGGGCCTTGAGGGGGCTGTTTTTGAGGTAGAGGCACAAAATATGCAGCATAGCTGTTGATGCCTCTCCTCAAACAAGCCCCCCAAGTTGTAAAAAGATTGGACCAGTGGGTCCAATTTTATGGGCCCCCAAAAAGGTCCCCCCATCCTCCATTGAAACCAATGGAGGAAAAAAGTGTTTAAAGGGATCGTGGTCCTTTAAAAAATGCTTTCTCCAGACCACATGAGCAGCATGACTCCAAAAGCATTCAAAGGGACCACAATCCCTTTAAATGTCTTCTCCAAGCTCTGTAACTTTGGCTATCCAGTGGTCCCAAAGAATCCCAAATATTTTTCAGGATTTTTGAGGACTGGCCATTTTGGATAGCTGAAAAATGGCCAAATCTATTCCAGCTGAAAGAATATCTGGAAAATACTGATAAGGTATTTGGAAGGTATTTTTTCAGCTTGGATTTAGCTGAACACACATCCCTAGTGACTATTCTATTTTTTTAAATCCACACTGAGTTCCCTAAGGAACATTGCTTTTCTTTATTTTACATACCCATCTACAGATAAATTCCAATGCGATGGAGTTTTACACCTTCAGGAAAGATGTCCCTGACACTAGTACAAAATGAACCTGTGTTGTGCCAGGCTTTACGGTGGAGTAGCTTATTCCCTTTTGAACCACAGACCTTTGAACTGTCAAGGAGCTTGTTACTCCTTAAACACCTTTTGGGAGTTACAATAGTTTTGAGTTGTACTAGCTCCATTTCACCACTGTTTTCCAGAGCTTCAATCAAATTGTCTAAATCTGATGTATGATGATAAGGAACAGTTTCTCTGCAAAACATAGCATTACTAGAGAGTATGAAACATTACAACAGTAAATGGGTTTTCCAGTGCCATAGGACTGAATAATTACCTAATTTCTTTTTTTTCCAGATGTCTCTTATTGTTACCACAAACAAAAACAAAATATATCTATTCTGTGTGTGTATATGTCCATATATACAAAAAAGCAAGGCAATAATGTTTTTGGATATTTTTTTTTAAATCTAGCCCTGTCAATTCTGTGGTCCTCAGGCTTGAAATAGCACACCTCAGCCATGTGCGGTGGCCCATCAAGCAGCTGGTGGACTTCTGTAAATGGTGCTGCTGTGATTTCACTATCCTCAGGAGACTCACATAAGAGAGTCCTGTTTTCAATGATGAATAAAAGGGCAGTATTTAAAATGGGTAAAACAGAGTATCCATCTGTGTTTTTAAAGATGTCTTCCTCCTTGCATTCTGACTTGGTGTTCTGTTTCCCCTAAACATCATATTTAAAAAAAATCTGAAAAAGACTCATTCTATAAAGTTATAGATATGACTTGGGATATTTTTCCTGCACTGTGCAGAGACTATAAATTTTCAATGTTATGAAGAGATTTGTGTATACAGATTTCTCTGTTGTCTGCCTCATTTTTTTTAAAGTGTGGCTGCATCATTTGATATTCTATTGAATGCTTCAAGAGAACGTTATTCAGTTCCAGACTGTCTGCTTGTAGTGGAAACACAAACTAATATCTGACCAGCTGTTTTAGCTTTGTAATAATTTATTAATGCTTCTAAACATCTCAAGTCATTAATGTTGAAAGTAGATTAATGTGTTTGTTCCATTATTTGAAAAAGTCCATATTTTTTGTTAAATTTATTTTCAGGCTTCACACCTCTTAAAAACTGCAGATTACTCGTGCACAGGGGCTCCATATGCTCCTTAAGTGCCACTTCCATTGTGGATGATAATTAAATGTAGACTTGTGAGAGAACTTCTTAGACCAAGTGAATTTCTATTATATTGCGAGGCTGATTTAGCACCCAAGGCTATGCAGGTTTACTTAGAAGTAGGTTTCACTGATTGTGGCCTTCCTTCAAGGTAACTCTGCATAGAATTACATGCTGCTTTTGTCCACTTGCCATGCCTTTGCTCACCTTCCATACATTCCGGTGTAGCATGTCAAGTTTATGGTTTCTGCCCTCTTGGCTCACAAGGAATCAGGAAACTGGGTTGTTCTCTATTGCAAGTCCCATTTCTGCATGGAAATGCTCTTCTATCACTCCCATTCATGGTATATCATGTGCTGATGTGCTTCTACATGGATCACCTCTACATTTTGAAAGCTGTTGGGCTATGTTTAGTATCATGTTTTTATCCTTTATTCGTCTCCTGACGTTATGTATTTCATCACTTCTTTTTGAATATGGAGTAGCTCAATAACAATGAAGTGTCGGACTAGACCAAAAAAGACATCTTTTGTTTGTAGGAATAATAGAATTTACACCAGCTGTCTCTAAAGCTATTGTCTGTAATTTAGCAAGGTACAGCAAGAAGTTTGCTTTGTACTTTTCATGGAAGTGTCCACAAAATAGCTATGTGTGACTTGTGCCATAGATTCCTTCCCTTCTGTTGGAACCAAAAGATGGGAGGGGGTATGAATAATCCATGCTTCTTCTGTCATCCAATGTACAAATTATCCTTCAGTCATGACAAAGTTCTGTTAAAGCTAATGGAATATCCAATAACGGAATAAGTAAGTTCCAATGAACATAAGGGGCTTTCTTCCAGCTTTCTGAGTATAGAGTTGTGAACATCAAATTGTGTGTGGCCTTAACATTTAACCTATGCATTTCGTAGAACTTAGTTGTGACTAGCTCACATAGTGCCATTTGTTTTTGAAGTAGGGAGTATGTGTTTCTGAACAGGCATTGTTAGGGAACATGCTGAATTTTCTTTGAGAGTTTGAATTTCAGTACAGTACGTTGAAGGGGAAAAAGAAGACCAGTAATGAGTTCCTTCCGTTCCCTGATGTGATTTTGCAATCAGGTGCCTGGTTGCTGCATAAAGGAAACGATCCTGCTCCTTGTGGTTTGTGAAGCATGGACAATCCGGTCAAAGGACATGTAGGCAGCAGTGGGATGCTTGGAAAGGCTCAAACTTTTCTGGTTTGTATACACCTTGCATTTTATCTGAAAGTAAATTCTACATAAAATTGACTGGGTTTACTAATCCATAGTACTAGTCCTGCAGCTCAGATACATACCAAGTGGTCACAGGGACAAAAGAGTCACAGAGCTTTGGGTGAAGGCATATTTATTCAGGAACTGGACTGAATAAATTGTTAAATTCTTAGTGTTGTTAAAAAATGCTCTTACAGAATGGTGGTGGTGGGTCTTCACTAAAGCTATGAAACTCAGTAGAGATACATAAAGGCTCCTGTCCAACTAAAGTGAGTTCAGATTCAGTCCTATTGGGGGGGGGGAATCACTGAGGCTTAATTTGGTCGTCCAGTATATTCCACTAAATTTAACAGGAAATAAACTCAAATGTCTGTGGAGCATTTTTAACCCGAGGTCAAAATCAATTCACAAATCATCACTTCCTGCATCTGCGTTCTCCTCCTGGAACATATACAAAATTCCTTAATTTCTCTTTCCAGACTAAAGAGGCATTTAATTTAAAATATTTATGATCACTGACAGATATCCTAAGGGCTCCTTTTTAATCTAGAGTACCGCTTCAGAACTTAATATCAGTCACATAGAAATGTACATGGACATGTAACTAGAGTTTGTATTATATGTATTTTTCAAAAATAAAGTGCCTAAAAAAAGAGGTTTCAAGAATTTATTTTTTGTCAAATGTTTTTGCTTCTTTAACTGTCCTCATACTTTAAGAAAATGAATGCTAAAATCTGTTGACTGGGATGCTCTACATTTATCTGACTCCCTATTATGCCAATACCCTCCCCATCTATTGCCACATCCCTTGAAGGACTGCTGTGGGACGCAAGTATTACACTGGCATAGCACATATTTGTTGATGGTGTTCATAGTCAAAAGTTATGAACATAAAGTGCCATTGGTTTCAATCTGACAGAATTATGCATTTAACTCTACCAGTGGTATCAGTTACACTTACAGACCGATTTCCCACAAGCCACTGCACTGCCCTTGCTCTTCCTCCCCCCCCCCATTGTATGTGTCAATTTCCCACTACTTGCTGTGTGACTGCATTTTGACCTGCAGCTTCACCTAATTTTCCCTGTGTCTTTTTGATCCTCAAAAAACAAGATCAAAAAGATGCGGGGGAAATTGGGTGAAGGAAGAGCGAGGGTGGAGCAGCGGCTTGTGGGAAATCGGTCACAGTGTTTGTAATGGACTAGATCATGCCCCCATTTTATGGTTGCTTTCCCTGTCTCTCAAACCATTTCTGTGAACATATGGTGAAGGAAATCTACATGCCCAGATGGCTCTAGGTTAACAGTATTTTATTCCCTATGCCTCCCATATATTTAATGATTTCAGATTTTTCTGCAAACCCTGGGGATCCCAGGGGGTTAATGGTGTGAGTTAGTGCTCTATTTATGTCTCTGCATGTGTTCAATTTTATATGCACACATTTTTCATGTGAATAAAATGTAGGTTCCAATTCGTATGAACTAGCATTTTACTGAGTCA